GCTATTCATTTAAAAGCGAGTCGGGACATGGGCCGAGTCGTGCATCTAACAGCATTCAATATTTGTATGTCTGCTTTTCTAGCTAGCCATTGTTGATTATTTTCCGATGGTGTGAAGATAGTCTAGTTTACATTTGAAACTTCCACTTGCCTGATAATTAAATGATGAAATGACTCACCTGCGAAACGACCGGGACTACATGAAGCCCACTTGCTTACTGCGTAAATGAAATAACAAATTGCAAATGAGTCGTCTGAATTAATTGCTCTCTTACTTCTTGTTTCCAGGAATAAGATAACCAGAAAATGGATATCCTAATGCGGCCATCCGTGTTAAGATTACGTCAGGTACGCTTGAAAAATAACCTTTTTGTTTTCATTTCTAGTCTCAGAATTTCTGTTCTCATTCCTGTTTGCTACACCTAGATTGTAAAGTACGTTCCGTTTTGTTTTGTTTTGTTGTTCTTGTTGCTGTTTTTTTCAAACCAAAAACTAGGCAATCAGGACACGCTTATATAGCGTATTGAACCAATCAGAACACAAAGCGAAACTTTGCACCCAGAGAAAAGCGCGGGAAAATCCACGTAACTACCATGTTTGTTGTTTGGACAAGCATTTTTAACCAATATTCAAATGAAAACTAAATAAAGCACAAATACTAGATCGAACAAGGTTCTTTAAGGCCCGAATGAGTAGGGAACAAGGTGGGGGTCCTCAGTTACTCGATGACGAAAACAGGGATTGTGTGCGGGATCGGTCGCTTTTGTGTGAACAGGCTTAGCTTGTACTAGTTTATCTTGTAGCATCGTTTTCTGTTCTTTTGGTGCGACTTGAAATATAGTTTTTGGCTTGCTATTTCTCTTCAGCAAAAGATGGTATATATTTTTTTGGTTTTTGAAAAGCCTTTATCACTTATACTGCTCAATTGACCTGTGTACAGTGGTAGTGCTGTGAAGAATCGGTGCCAGTAATGCTGTGCTGTGGCGCATGATGAGTTGAATGGTGTCAGACTGCAGAAAGACCAGGACTTGTCTTGCTAAAAGACGTATTGGTGAGTAAGTTGACGTTGTTTAGTGTTATTTCATGCGATGAACCGTTAAAGTCTCCCATGACCAAAGGATTGTTAACTGAATCAGCCGATGCGAGTTTTTTTTTGTCGTGCGAACTGAGAGACTTCTGCCATCGGTGAATGCTTCCAAATCGCAAATTCTTATAAATCTACCTATACACGGGTGATTTGAAATTGTTGTCAGATACTCCCAAAAAGTATGTACTCACATATTGCGACTAAAATGAAACCCAATCAAACAAACAAACAAGTAACAACGGCCTAATTTTAATATGAATGTGGCAGAAATTAGAAAGGTTTCCAACAAAAATGATGAAAAAAAAATTGTTTATTACACCTCACTCATGATTAATAGTCTGGTCAGGTTTTCATTCGTGTTATGTAACTTGTCACTTATTTATTGCCATATTTTGAGATCAGAGTGAGATTTCTGTGTAGCATTATACTTGAATGTGCATTCAAGTTCTTTTACACCTTCATACATAAACGAATAGAACGACATTTCCAAAATAGTATGCATAAGAGATTTCCGTATATGACTATACTTTTGTAAAACGTACAATACTGCCGCAGTTCACATTTGAAAAGCAGAACGTCTAAAATTTATCTCGATAGACCAAAACTTTGTTGGAATTTTCGTTGACGTGGAATCTGCTTAGAACGCTCCATTCAAGTTTGGATGACCTTGGATGACCCTCACAAGGCCATGTCCACAAAAGCCGCCATTTTAGTTTTGCATTATAATGCAAATTTATTAACAAAGCGATTTCTGTTAAAACAATAGACACTTTGCATAAATGGCGCCTACATAAGGATAACAATACTTTGTACATCCTAAACTTCTTGTTAATGTTTCCAGACAAAAGGATTTTTCACATGAATGTGAGGCTTAGGATGTTATAAGTATTGTTAGTATCACCCAACTAGTGGACTAATGCAAATCCTGCATTTTGATTGGCTACGCTACTAGGGGACTATTAGTAATAGTCATCGAGTAG